AAACAGATATATAGATCAATGGAACAGAATAGAAAGCCCAGAAATAAATCCACTCATATAAGGTCAAAGGAGCCAAGACAAAGGAGCCAAGAATATACAATGGGGAGAATACAGCCTATTCAGTAAATAGTGTTGGGAAAACTGGACAGCCACATGCAAAAGAATGAACCTGGACCACTATCTTACACCGTACACAAAAATGAACTCAAACTGGATTACTTTTAACTGTAAGATCTGAAACTGGAAAACTCCTAGAAGAAACGTAAGTGGTAAGCTCCTTGACCTGGGTCTTGGTGATGATTTTTTGGATTTGACACAAAAAGCAAAGGCAACAAAAGCAAAAATCAAGTGGGACTATGTGAAACTAAAAAGCTTCTGCACAGCAAAGGAAAGCATCAACAAACTGAAAAGGCAGCCAGTGGAATGGGAGAAAATACTTGAAAATCACATATCTGAGAAAGGATTAATATCTCAAATATGTAAAGAACTCAATAGCAAAAAACCAAACCGATTAAAAGTGGGCAAAGGAAATGAATAGACATTTGTCCAAAGAAGACATACAAATGGCCAACAGGTACATGAGAAGGTCTCAACATCACTACTCATCATGGAAATGCAGATCAAAACCAAAGATAGCACCTTTGGTTATCGTCAAAAAGACAAGAAATAACAAGTGTTGTGAGGATGTAGAGAAAAGGGAACCCTTGTGCACTGTTGGTAGGAATATAAATTGGTGCAGCCAGTATGGAAAACAGTATGGAGGTTTCTCAAAAGATTAAAAGTAGAATTGCAATATAATCTAGCAATTCCACCTCTGAGTATATACCCAAAGAAATAAAATCACTATGTCGAGGAGCTATCTGCACCCCCATGTTCATTGAAGCATTATTTGCAACAGCCAAGATATGGAAATGACCTAAGTGTCCGTTGATGGATGAATGAATAAAGAAGATGTGGTATTTATATACAGTGGTATATTATTCAGCCATAAAAAAGAATGAAATCTTGCCATTTGTGACAACATAGATGGGCATTGAGGGTATTATGCTAAGTGAGATGTCAGACAGAGAAAGACAAATACTGTATGATTTCACTTATATGTGGAAGATAAAAAACAAAAATCAAACTCATAGAAACAGGAAGGAGAATGATGGTTACCAGGGGCTGGGGAGTGGGGAAATGGGGAGATGTTGGTCAATAGTACAAACTTCTAGTTATAGGATGAATCAGTTCTGAGGATGTCATGTACAGCATAGTGACTGTAGTTAGCAACACTGTATTGTATACCTGAAATTTACTAAGAGAGTAGGTCTTAAGTGTTCTCACCACACACACAACAAAATGTTAACTGTGTGAGGTGCTGGAGGTGTTAATTAACTTGATTGTGGTAATTATTTCACAGTGTATATGTATATCAAATCATCATGTTGTACACTTTAAATATATACGATTTTGTTTGTCAATTATACCTCAGTAAAGCTGGAAGAAAACAACAAAGTACGAGCTGCCGGCGTCCGCTTCTGAGAGAGTGGTGGATGCGAGAGCCTGAGGGTCAGAGTAAATACGTACATTTTGTCCTTTTGGGCCTGCGTGGTTTGGGGATGCAGGTTGTCGGGAAAGTTCTGGTGCTTTCTGTGGCCTCCCTTCTCCCTGGGGACTGCACTACACAGAGAGGTGGTGAGGTTAGAGGGTCCCGCCCCCACCCCACCGTGTGCAGCCCTGCTGGTCACCAGCTTCTGAAGGCAGCCCTAGAACAGGTACGAGTTGGTAGACAGTTGTCTGAGGAATGACACTTCAGGTCTCACCCCAGACCCCAGTCTCCTGTCAGTCAATGGGCAGAAGATCTGTAGCTCTTGCATGGGGTGCAGTGAAAGTTCAGCAATGCCTGTGCAGTGAAAGCTTCTCACAGTGCAGTCTGTGCACGGGTGGGTGCTCACCCTGTTAGCTGCCGTTCCTCCTGTTTGTGTCGCTATTTCAAGGAGCTGGCGATATGCAATGAATGTTGCCGTCCCTGGGTGAGCTTGGCCCCGGGCAGGAAAGGTGGACACACAGAGATTACTTTGAAACAACAGGCCATGGGATGAATGCTGGAGAGAGGAAGGTGTCCAAGGGGCTTCTGGAACACGTTTGGGCACTTAGCCCTGCCTGGGAGGGGCAGGTGGAGGGAGGGTGGGCTTCCTGGTGTGGGAAGCACCTCCTGCCTTCAGTCTTGAAGAAAGTCTGCTTGACACGGAGGGTATGTGGAAAATTCTGGGCAGAGACAGCAGAGCAGGGCCAAGGAGGCGCATGAGGATGGTGTGAGTGTGGTACTGGTGTCAGGGAGGAGAGGCTATTGGAGCTATTGGCATCAGCCACGGAGGATGTTGGATCAGTGCCGAGGAGACTGTGCTTTCTCCTGTAGGCGAAAGGATTGGACAGTGAGTCTGGACACTGTTCACTTCAGTGTTTATAATGTGTTGGAAAGGCAGGTATGGCTGGATGAGAAGCTGGGGCCCGGGGTGGAGAGGGGCTGGAATCCCAGCCTGCACAGGCCACAGCTTGGCCCCTCCCTCTCCGTGATGGGGTGGTTATGAAGATCAATTGCAGTAACACACGGGAAAGCATCTTGCACAGGGCCGGGCACAGCTCCCACAGATGGATGGCTGAATTGCTGCTCTGAGGAGAAAGCAAGGGACCAGCTGTTGGATGGGAAGTCCATAGAACTTTGAGGGTCACCTACCTACATACCAGAAACAGTGGGTCCATCTCTTGAGATCTCTGCCTTAGTGCTTTATGTAATTTCGCTGTGATTAGTTAACCTTTGCGAATGTGATGATTTTGCCCTGCAATGCCCCATGGCTCTCTTGTGTTAGAGTCGGCCATCCACTGTGAATATCACACAACTGTCCCTGTGCATCCACTGACCCTTTCAGGCTGTGCTGTCCCTTGGTATTAATTATCTGCTGCTGCATAACAAATTACCGCAAAAGTTAGCCTGATGATAGCATCTATTATTTCTCAGCATTTCTGTGGGTCAGGCATTTGGGAATTATGTGGCTGGGCAGTGCTGGCTCAGGGTCTCTTAAGAGGCTGCGTAATCTGAAGGCTTGACTGGGACCGGAGGCCCTGCTTTCTGAGGTGACTCCCTCCCACAGCTGGCGAGGTGGTGCTGGCTGCTGGCGGGAGGCCTCGGTTCCTCCCGTGTGGGCCTCTCCACAGGGCTGCTTTAGTGCCCTCAGAACATTGCCCCTGGCTCTCCTCAGAAGAGGTGGTCCAGGAGACCAGGGCAGAAGTCACACTGCCGGGTCACACAGACCAGCTTAGAGTCACTGTGGGAGGGGACTGCACACGGGCACGGGCACCAGAGGATCACTGAGGCCACCTTGGGGGCTGACCACTGCATGAGGTCATGCTCCAGTCCCAGGCTGCTGAGCAGCCCGCCGGTCTAGTTCAGGGTGTGGGCAGAGCATCCTGTGGGTCCGGGGGATCCTTCACCTGCGTTTCTGCTCCTTCTTACTTACCTGAAGGCCAAGGGCCTCCCAACTGCCCTCCTCTTCATCTGCCCTTGCTGCTGGCCTCCTGCTCCTGGCTGTTCTTCTGTCCGGAATTTTAATCTGATGTGGAAGCCCCTTTAATTCCAACGGCAAGTGTGTCTTGATTAGGAAAGCACTCATTGCTTTTGCAGGGTACCCATGGGAAGATGTGGAATAAATATTTGTGAATAATTTTGCAAACATCAAAGGCATGGAAGGACAGCTTAAGAAATAGATCTTGCAAAGATAACAACCCTGGCTGTTCTCCACTTGAGTTCCAGTAACTGCCAGCCACTGGCCAAGTTACTTTGTTTTATTCTCATTCAATCCTACTCGGACCTTTATGATTTCAGTATTTCTGTCCCCAGCTCACAGAAAGGAGAGGGATGGTATGGGGGTGAAAAGTTTGAGCCTTGAAGCGCTGAGCCAGGGTTTGGGGCCCGTCTCCTGGCCTCCAAGGCCTTGTTTTTCCAGGGCCCCACACACTTCCAGATGACAGTGTTTCAAAGCAGGGTCCCTTGAGTGGTTCCATTTTGGCATTGCAGTAATCCTGGGAGAGGAAACAGGGTGGTCCCCGGCCCTGCCTAGGGCAGCCCAGCTGGACAGGGCCAGGAAGCCCTCAGGCACATGCCTCCCAGCCCAGGTCCCTGTCCCTCGTCCCACAGCTGCTCCCAGGGGTTCACCAAGGTGGGGGAGGTGAGGGAGTGCACCAGATGCCACTTGGAGCCTGCATGGGAGCCTGCAATGGGGTTATTCATTCTTCAGCCTCCCTGTCCTGCCATCTCTGCCTGGAAATGTCGGCGGGGCAGGGCCACATGCCTGAGCTGCTGTAGGGTGGGGGCAGCTTTCAAGTCTTGTCAGCACAGCTGCAGCCTCTGGAGGGCGGGCCTGTGAAATCTGCATTGGTTCCGGCTCTAAATCTGCATTGTTGGGGCCTCGGAACCGACACATGCCTCTCGCCATCCACACAATAGCCCCGGTTGGAGGATTCCCCCGTAGGAATTTAGACATGGATTTATTCTGACAGTCAGTTCTTAGTTGTCGGAAGTGGAAGGAGTGTGGAACTCAAATGTGCGACTTTCTCACTAAAGGTGCCAGTCCTGATTCTTATGGGGCATTTTCAAGTTTCTCTTCCTTCCTCAGGGAGAAGCTATAATTTCCAGGCAAACATTAATGCTTTTTACTGCTCAGATTCACCGCCTTTCTTCAGGGATCCAATTTGGCTGCACATACCCCTGGAAAAGCCAGTCTGTTTGGAACTGCTCCCAGGAGGTCCCCATCTGCGCATCGGAGACCTTGCTATCAGAACAGCTGTAGCCGGATCCTTGCACACCATGTCCACCCCACACTCTGTTGAAACTCAGCGTTGCGTCATAGGTGACCAAATTCCCTCAATCCGGATCTTTTCAAGAATTGAGAGTTTGGAGATGTAAAAGGTTTCACTGCAGAGACCGTTCGACGCACACATTCTTTCTCTTTCTTTTCCAGCCTGCAAGTATTCCTGCCACAAGAAATGTGAAGCCAAGGTAAGTGTTGCGTTGCTTTCCCATGGGGCTTTTTATGGCCGAATTGGCCTTCGTTGAATGATGTGCATAAAAGGGGGACTGCTTTGGGCCGTGGCCACAGAAATGGAACTCTTAAGAAACAGCTACTAGATGCTTTCCGATAGGGTGTATACTTTTCGTCTCAGGAATAAACTGAAGAGCTATGAAATTCATGGTTTTAATTATAGAAAATAACTCTGAAGAATTTGGTTTCACGTGAGAATTCAGTAATTTTGTCCTGGCTGTGTCACAGCCGTTTCTCCATAACAAGTGATCCCTTCTTTCTAATTACACGGACAAGCTGTTTTTCAGGGGAGAGAGAGGACAGGAATAGGGTCTCGGGCATTTGCCTGGCCTTGAAGACTTTTCTGGCTTCTTTTTGAGGGTGGTTGTTCGTGGGTTGGTTGGGGTTTTCACTGTCGTGGAAGTCTGGGGACCCTGAATCGGGATAGTTGTCCTGCATTTGCACGTCCCCTGGAGGGGTAAATTGCCAAGTGGCCTGCTCGAAGCACTAGAGGCCTGGGTTGCTTGGTTGGGTTTAGGACTTTAACTGGGGGAAATGGCACATGAGGAGATGCAGGAGCCCCTAGGGTGGGCCCTGGTTTTCTACCTGGGTCACTGTGTCTGCACCTCCCACATTTTTCAGGCATGATGTTGGTTGGAAATGGAGCCAGATTGCAAGTATCTTTCCCGCTGACTGACTGGCCCTGCTTTTGTGGGAGCCTGCCAGATGTCCTGCAGGCTGCCCCTGTGGCTGGAGGTCGGGGGAGATGGGGTTTTAGAGAGTCTTGGGACTTTGTTGCTGCTGTGGACCTCCGGGGTTACCTGTTCCTGAGACTTTCCAACTGGTCCTTGGGCTCTGACTGGAAGGAACGCATACTGGAAGTGGGCTTCACACCATGAGCTGGCTTCTTGTTCTTGTGTTCTGCACGGGAGGACTGGGGTTCTGGTTTCCGCCACCCTCCACCGACACACACACAGGGATGCATGCACACACTTCACACACACACCTGCACACCCACAGTCAACTCACACACACATTTGTATGTATACACATACACATGCACACACACTTGCACATACATGCACACACAATGCACATCTGACATGCACAGACGCACACAGGCACATACACACACATGCACACACGTAGTTGGAAGAACCAGCCCTATTTGTTTTCAAGAAAGACATTAAATGACTTTTCTTTTTAAACTTTTCATTATGGAGAATCTGGGACACATGCAGAAGTAGAGAGGATAGTACAGAGCTCCGTGCGACACTGTTACTGAAGCCTGCAACTCGTTCTTTCCTCTCCAAACCCCATCCCCTGCCTCTTCAGAGAAGTCACATGATGTGTGTTTTGAGCCATTTCAGGAACAGGCACTCGCCCGTGGAGGGGCTTCAGGGCATCTCTGCCGTCACTTTCCGCTCTTACTCTGGAGACGGCTTCCCCTTTTCAGCGAGGTCCGGAGTTCCCACCCTCACACTTGTAGCTTGTAGAGCAGCTGGTTTCCGACCCTGGTTTATTTTAGGTCTGCTTCACCTGCACGTACGCTCTTCTCTCCCGTGTGCTGTGCACCGTTGATGGAAGTGACTGTGCGGAGCAGAGACGCCCATGTGCAGGGAGAGTGGGGTAAACACCAGCTGGGAGAATGTTTCTGATTTCTGAGAGGGTTTTTCCCCACCCCCTCATGTGGATTTAGATGTCCTCCATGCTGAGGGTCTCCGTGGTGGTGAGCCCTGCCCTGCATAGCTTCCGTCTCGTCACTGCGGTGGAGCAGACAGGGGAGAGCCACCCCCAGAGGTACTGCCTGTCCCGTGTCGTTCCTGCACGTGCGTGCGTGTATGTGCACGTGAATGTGTATGCTTGTGATGTCGGGGTGTGCATTGTGGGTGTGTGCTTGTGTGTGCCTCCACCTGGGACGGTACTGCTGGCCTGGCTGCTCCTGACCTGCAGCTGCTGTGGGCACCATCTCTTAAGGGGGCCTAGTGCCAGCTACTTAGGGAATTCAATTCTTTGGTTTAAAGAATATTCCAAAAGTCTTAGCTATCACTTATGGCATTTCTAACTGCAATAATTGGCAGTTTGCTGAGAGGTAGATAAGCTTTTGCTTTTATTAGATCGTGTTGGGGGGGAAGATATCCGTATTCTTTGTTTTCTAATGCAGCTTTGAATGGCAGGAGAGAATGCCACCAGTAATAACAAAGCCCCTTCTTATTCCGAAGCTGCTGGGCATACGAGGGGCCTAAGTTCTCAGGGGCCCCTGGAGATGAGCAGGGGCGGCTCGGTCTCCCAGGTCTCCCAGGAGCTGAGACGTGGCTGTCCTTGACAGTTTGGGCCCTTGGTTACCGCATGTGTGTATGTAACTGTGTGGGCTCCCTAAACGCAGGCACGCCCTGATTTCTGGGGAGACCGTGAAGCTTTGGTTAAGAACACAGGCTTTGGCCTAACGTCTGACCCGGTCCAGCCACTTACAGACTTGGGGATGGTGTGTGCCGAGGGTCCCCTCTGTCACGGGAGCCCGCATGCCTACGTCAGCAGGTGGGAACACCCGAGGAGTGACGGCTGCCGAGCGTGTGGCACGCTCCCCAGAGCGTGTTATTGTGCTAGTGTGGGATGAATGCTGTTGGCATTGTCATCGTTCTGCTATGCCAGGCCACCGTCAGAGACTCCCAAGCAGGACTGGGATGTCCTTGCATAGAGTGGATGATGTGGAGGGGCTGAGCCATGGCTGGGGGCTCAGGCAGGGAAACCGAGTCATGAGCTGAGACGCTAGAGGCCCTGATGGACCGAGGTTACTCTTTTCCTGGCCGTCAGGCAGTGTGTCCCCTCAGGCGAGGCCATGGGGGTCAGATGGCACACAGAGGCAGAGACCTGGGCTTTAATGCCAGCGGGAACTTCTCGTCTGCTGGAGCAAGTCCAGTTCCCCGGGGCCTCAGTTTCTTCATGCGTAAAATGGGTGAATAATACTTCCTACGATCTGCTTGAAAATGGCTTGCTCTTAGCTGTTAATTGTGGTAATATTAATTATTTAGGCTTTAAGGAAGTCACATAACTTAAGTATAGTTACTGGAAAGTTTGGGATTCCAAATATTTTGCTCCCTGGGAGGCTGTGCTTGTTCACCAGATCCTCATGAGCTGTTTGGGCATCATGACTTGGTTTTTTCCTGGCCGCTGGTTGACTCATTGGCAAGAGAAAAAAGGAAATAGGAGAAATAAACTGGTTTTAGGAAGGCAGATGATGGTGAGGAGACACAGGGTGGGATGGGGTCCCTATTGGTGCCCCTGAAGCAAGGCAAAGCTGGGGTTCTGCTGAGCTTTGGCGAGCAAGCAGGAGCACCGTGAAAATGGGAATCACGTCCTTGGTGCTCGAGGCCCCAGGCACCGGTCCCTCCACGTCCGCCCACCCCAACACACCTGCTCGTAGAGGTGCATCCGGTGCAGGCTGTTAAGTATTGTCTTGAATCATGAGAGGTTACATCTACCTGCAGATAATTTTTGGCAAATGTAAGACCCCACACAGGGACCGAAAAGTGAGTTGGCAGGGCTGGGACAGGCATGTGGTGGTGTGGAGCACCACCTCCTGGAGGGTCCCCACACTGAGCCCGCCCGAGTCCCCTGCCATCTGGCTCAGAAGGTGTTCTCAGACCCCTTTGTCCTTTCCTCGCCCTGCACAGCGTGCTGCCCAGGGCCAGCTCTCTTCTTTTCCTGGACACGCTTTGATCGTTGGAGATAAAGACCTGGACCTCAGGGGCTGCCCACCTTGATGAGGAGGAAACCAGCTTTCAGACCAGGAGAGGAGTCCGGGGCTTTGCCCGGCCTCTGGCTCCTGCAGGGGCCTCTTCTTCCTTTGTCCTCGCTGTGGCTGTCACGTGGCCCAAGCTGGGAGCTGTCACCCACCTCCACCTCCCACTAGAAGCAGAGCTCTCTGTAGTAGACACGCTGCTCCTCTCCCTGAAGAGAGCGTAGGAGGCAAGCATGACTATGCGGGGATGCAGGAGGAGTCGCCCCGAAGGCCTCACTCCCCAGAAGCCCACCAGCCAGCCCTGAACTACTGGGGGAGCACCAGCCTTCCTACAGTTCAAGCTCCGGGCTGCCCTCTCTCTGCCCGGCCTGTGCTGTGAGCAGGGTTGGGCGCCGTGAGCATGTGGGGAAGGAGTGAATCTGATTGTGTTCAGTGCCACAGCATTCAAGACGGAGGGGACCACCTTCACGTCCCCATGAGATGTCAGTGGTGGCCTTTATTCATTGGGACCCAAGTCTTTCCTGGGAACAGATGACCTGAATTTGTTAGTAAAAAGCAAGGACTGAGTTTTCCATAGAAAGCAACTAGCCCTGTGAGCACAGAGCTTGCAACAGTCTGTGTGCTCGTCACTCCCTACCTCCCACTTACATGTCCTGTGGCTTTGAGTAGCGTGATAATCTCATCTGAAACCTGGTGGGCAGTCGCTGTCTGACAGGCTGGTTTTGGGGTGACGTGAGATCGCAGACCTAAATATCTGGCCAGCAGCTGGCTTATAATGTGGGCCCAGAAGTAAAAGAAATCAGCTACATTATTGAGGGATTATCAATAATCTGCTGAACGCTTTGCTATTCCATCATTTAATTATCACAGCCTCCCTCGGAGGTAGTCCTGTTCTTGCCCTGGTCTTAAGGTGACGGCTGAGACTTGAAGGGGTCGCATTGCCCACCTGGTGGACAGGGCCAGGACCCCAGCGCCACGTCCTACCCCAGCCCAAGCTGCAAACGCTGGGCCCTGGCCTGGTCTCCCTCCTGGGTCTCAGTGAATATTTACATATCCCTCTTTCTCCCTTCCTCCCTACTCCTGGCACTAAGGGAGGAGGCGGTTAATTTTTAAACCTGCCAGTTCAACAAACATTTCCTGATTTCCCTCTGGGCCGGGCACCCAGCTGGTGCCCAGACATCACTCCCTGACCACGGGTCCATTTTGGCTAGAGGATTCCATTTATCCACCTGTGTT